CCCACCCACCCCACGCTCTCCCACCCAGCTCTTAAGAGTAGCCATCCCCCTTTTTTTCAAGGGACCAAAATAATTAAGTAATTGGACAATTGAATCAAAAGCTGTTTCATGGCCAGGTGTGGGGTTACTCCTTCATTATTCATCAATTCAGTAGGTAAAAGGTCTAGAGCTGATTCTAAGTGTGGTATTTGCATTTGGAATCTATTGCTGTGAACCTACATCATGCTTTCAAAGGAGCTGACGATGCAAGTCAAACAGGCCATTGTAAGGCTTCAAAAATGAAACAAATCCATCAGAGAGATAGCAGCAACATTAGGAGTGGCCAAATCAATAGTTTGGTACATTCTGAGGAAAGAAAAATGCACTGGTGAGCTCAACAGCATAGAAAGGCATGAATGTCCATAGAAGACAACAGTGGTGGATGATCACAGGATTCTCTCTATGGTAAAGAAAAACCCATTTACATCCAGGCAAGTGAAGGACACTCTCCAGGAGGTGGGTCTATCATTGTCCGTCTACAATCAAGAGAAGAATTCAAGAGAGTAAATACAGAGAGTTCAGCACAAGGTGCAAACCATTCATAAGCCTGAAGAATAGAAAAGCCAGATTAGACTTTGCCAAAAAACACCTAAAAAAAATAAATAAAATGAGACCAGTTTTGGAAAAGCATTCTTTGGACGGATGCAACTAAGATTAATCTCTACCAGAATGACTGGAAGAAAAAAGTGTGGAGAAGGCTTGGAACAGCTCAAGGTCCAAAGCACACAGTGTCATCTGTAAAACATGGTGGAGGCAGTGTGATGGCATGGGCATGCATGGCTTCCAGTGGCACTGGGTCATTGGTATTTATTGATGATGTGACAGAAGCAGCCGGAAGAATTCTGCAGCGTTTAGAGATATACCGTCAGCCCAGATTCAGCCAAATGCAGCAAAGTTGATTGGACGGCGCTTCACAGTACAGATGGATAATGATCCAATACGCACAGCAAAAGCAACCCAGGAGCTTTTGAAGGAAAAGAAGTGGAATATTCTGCAATGGCCGAGTCAATTACCTGATCTCAACCCCATTGAGCTGCATTTCACTTGCTGAAGGCAAAACTAAAGGCAGAAAGACCCACAAACAAAGAACAACTGAAGACAGCTGCCGTTAGAGCCTGGCAAAGCATCAGAAAGTAGGAAACCCAGTATTTGGTAATGTCCATGGGTACCAGACTTCAGGCAGTCATTGCCAGTAAAAGATTCTCAACAAATTATTAAAATGTAACTTTTTTATTTATGATTATATTCAATTGTCCAATTACTTTTGGTCCCTTGAAAAAGGGGGATGGCTACTCTTAAGAGCTGTAATTCCTAAACCCTTCCTCCAATTTGGATGTGCATACCCTCAAATTAAACCTGAGTGTGCACGTTCAGCCCATATCCATTATAACTATAGCTTGAATATGTTTTGGTAAATACCTGAAAAAAGCTAAAATTGTGCCTGTGTCCAAATATATATGGACCTAACTGTATATTTTGTTAATAGGTTTACATACAGAAAGCTGTTCCTGAGTTTGTCTGGGTATCAGAAACATTTTGGTTTGGTTAAATGCCACTTTACCTTCATCTGAGAAAGCAGTAACAGTCTCCTGTATGTACTGTCTGGAAGGTGTAGGAATCACTGAAGTGGCCAGACAGAATTAAAATAGTTTTTTGTCTGATATGGCAGTTCATATTTAGTGGTCACACACACGGTTCCTTGGTCCACATAGCAGACAATTTGGCTTTGCTTTATGCTGTAACTGCAAATGTGTTTTCTATAGCTCTGAATAAGATTTGTAGCACTTTTTTGTTTTTTCCACTGGCAATTTATTGCAATCATCTTATGCAAACTGCTTCTGTTGCCTTAGATTTGATGGGGTCATTCTTCCAGCTGTGAATGTCTGCACTTTTCATTAATGCTCTGTTGGATTCAGATGTGGTTATATAGCAGGCCACTTCAGAGCAGACCAGTAACCTGCTACTGAGATTCTGAACACTGATCATTATGTTGTACTCCTGAATGACTGATCATCTTTTGATTTCATAGTGCCTTTTAAGGAATCAAAAACAACTTTATGCTTTAAAAGCTTTTGTTTTTTTTTTCTTTTGTGAAAATAGAGCTGCTGTAATTTACTGAAAAGATTTTATTCTGTTTAATCTGGTCAAATAACATTCTAAGAGAGTAAATGTGCATTTTTGCAAACTCCAGGCTGGCTTTTTCAACTGGCCTGTTTTTCAGAATTGAAATATTTCATTGTCTACTGCTATGGATGCTACTTTCATTGCACAAAGTGACAAATATTATGACTGCAAATTATGCCTTGATCTTGGAAGTCAGTCAGTGCTTGCTTTGATGTTTTGTTTTGGTGGTTCTTCATCATTTGGATTATCCTTCTGTCCTTTCTGGGTTCCATTTTCTCTTGTAGCTACAGTGGGGAGAATAATTATTTGATCTCCTGCAGATTTTGTAAGTTTGCCCACTTACAAAGAAATGAAGGGTTTATAATTTTTATCATAGGTGTACAGTGGTACCTTGGTTTACAAACGCCTCCGTTAATGTAATTTTCGGGTTTACGAATGAAAATCCATTTAAAATAATGCCTTGGTTTATGAGTTTTTTACTAATTTTTTTCCGCAATACGAAGTGTATGGCTGTGCTGATTTTTAAATGCAATTGCCGACTTTTTTTCCTTCACTATAGCTCACAGGATTAGCTGTCACTTTCCCCGGAGTTTGTTTCTTTTAAGAAACTAAAAGGAAACATTGTTTCTTTTAACTTGGGGAAATAAACTAAAAGGAAACTTTCTCTCTTTTAGCTGGGGTGAAAGTGACAGCTGAATTTCTGCACTATAGTGAAGAAAAAAAAAAGCGATAATTACATTTAAAAACCAGCACCATAATAAATAAAAAAAAAAAAACGGTGTGGGGTCCCCCCTCCTCAACATGGGGACAAGGTGCTTTGGGGGGGAGCCCCCCCTGCCCCAAAGCACCCCTTCTCCCCATGTTGAGGGCATGTGGTATGGTTCGGGGGGGGGGGGGGGGGGAGGGAGCTCGCTTTACTGGATTTTTTATGTTCTAAATTGATTTTCTCTTATTTATAGATCTTCTCTAAATCCTTAAGGTTTCTTAGGTGTTGCTTGGCAACTTGAAGTTTCAGCTCCCTTCATAAATTTTCTATAACATTAAGGTCTGGAGACTGGCTAGGCCACTCCATGACCTTAATGTACTTCTTCTTGAGCCACTCCTTTGTTGCCTTACTGGTATGTTTTGGGTCATTGTCATGCTGGAAGACCCATCCACGACCCATCTTCATTGTTCTGGCTGAGGGAAGAAGTTTCTCATCCAAGATTTTACAATGCATGGGCCGTTCCATTGGCCCTTCTGTGTGACAAAGTTGGCTTGTCCCTTTGGCAGAGAAACAGCCCCAAAGTATAATGTTTCCACTTGTGTGCTTGACTGTAGGGATGATGTTCTTAGGGTCATAGTCAGCATATTTCTTCCTCCAAAACTGCGAGTTGAGTTAATGCCAAAGAGCTCAATCTTGGTTTCATCTGACCACAGCGCTTTCTCCCAATCCTCCTCTGAATTAGTCAGTTGTTCATTGGCAAACGTCATACGGGCCTGTACATGTGCCTTCTTGAGGGGACCTTGCGGGCGCTGCAGAATTTTGAGTTCATGGTGGCGTATTGTGTTACCAATGGTTTGCTTGGTAACTTTGGTGCCAACTGCCATCATTCACAACCTCCTCCCATGTAGTTCTGGGCTGATCCCTCACTTTTTTCATGATCATCCTTACCCCATGAGGCGAAATCTTGCATGGAGCTCCAGACCGAGAGTTATTGATGGTTATTTTGTATTTCTTTGATTTGCAAATAATCGCTCCTACAGTTGTCTCCTTCTCACCATGCTTCCTGCTTATGGTCTTGTAGCCCATTCCAGCCTTGTGCACATCTACATCCTTGTTCCTTACGTCATTTGACAGCTCTTTGGTCTTGCTCATGATGGTGCTGTCTGAATGGACAGTCCACAGAATCTCTGGACAGGTGTCCATTCAAACACATAATGAGTTGTCATTAGGAGCACCTTCTTAAATTGATAGGACTAATCTGTGTACCACATGAGCACATAGCCAGTCTGTGGGAGCCAGAATTATTGTTGGTTGTTAGGGGATTAAATACTTATTTTGCCCAGTGAACTGCAACTCAATTTATATAATTTGTGTCGTGTTTTTTCTGGATTTTTGGTTGATAGTCTTTTGATCATTTAAAAATACACTTATCATAAAATTATAGACCCTTAATTTCTTTGTAAGTGGGCAAACTTACAAATTCTGCAAGGGAGCAATTAATTATTATCCCTACTGTACATCTGTGGAGGATTTCTGTGGTCATCTTGCCCGTAAAATTCTTGATAGTATTGGCAGACATTTTTAGAGGAACATAAAACTCTTGGAGAAGGTTTTGTAACTTTTAACTTTACCATGCTTCTCTCTTTGTCTTCTCTATGTTCACTGTCTTGCAATCAGTGACACAAAGTGAGTGCTTTTCTCCATACAAATAGGCTTAATGGTTTATTGTAAGATTGAAAACACACATAATGCTAATAAAAAAAAAAAAGACTAGTCTGCTTGGAATATTGCTAAAATTCAGTACTGTCTTTAAGTAGCATTAATTAAGTCCATGTCATTTTCATTGGTTTTCTCAGTATGTTAGGTCTTAAAGAAAAATGGTTTCTTCTAAGGGCTATGAATGAGAGAATGGTGTATGCTGTTTGTTTCTAGTTATTTCATGCAGATTTTGATTCTTTACAAAAAAAAAGTGCAGGGGTCCTACAAATGTATTTGTATTTCAACTGTGCATTTTGCTGTTTTGTTTAAACTACAGCTTTAACACATATATTTGGTGAATCATTTAACACTTGTATTGTACTATTGTATTTTCAAGAGCAAATTAATGGTCATTTTATTTCTTGCTTTTCAGATGTATTCTTGGTGAACTCTTTACAAAGAAACCAATATTCCAGGCTAATCAGGAGCTGGCTCAACTAGAATTGATTAGGTATTTTATTAATTTTTCTTACATTAGAATTTCTTAAATTTCAAATGAAGTGAAGTCCAAATGAAGTTAATTGCTAAGAGAACTCAGGAATGTGTGATTTGTTCAAGGACGGATAGAAATACTGTTTTTATTTTCCCATAAATGTATGTCTGATTGTATATAGGGTATAGGTGACCAAAACTACTACATCTTGCTGCCTATTTTCCCAGTGTATTGATTGGACAATTGGACCACTTAGGGCTACTATGCTGGTGGTAGTGGACACTGGGAATTTATTTATAGAGATGCCCTATTTGTCATAAAGCAGTAAAAGCAGGTGTAAGTAGCCTTTTTAGAGTTGTCAAAGTAGTGTCTTCTGCCCCCTTCACATCATACCCCTACAGTAAGGCACTCTGGCCACTCTGCCGCACCCACACAGTGTTCTCTGCCCCTCCATACCAGCTTTGGGGGTATCTGTCTGCATATCCATCTGCGCAGTGTTCGCAGAGCTACCAGGGGTCTCCTCTGGTGTCAATGACCCACTATTTGCTCCTGTGCAGTGAGTAGGGGGGATGTTTTCCCTCTGGGCATATCACCGCAGGGGGAGTTAAGAAGGAGAGGTGGAAAATGGGTATGTGAAATGTCCCATGCTATGTAGATTCAGTTTCCACAGGCTCCCAGGGCTGCGAGCAGCGGCTGTCTAAAAGCGGCTGCTACACTGCACAGCTGCACTGTCTCCCATCTCTGTACTGACCTCCTGGGATACAACAGTGGCTGGGAGTAAAAAGAAACTGCGAGGTCTACACTGCAGCATAAGGAGCTGGTGGCATGGATGCCATATCCCAATCCCCCCTCGCACCCATACCAGCTTAACAAGCTGGCAATTGGTTGCTAGGACCTCCCGGCATCCTAGCAACCAGGCACCTGCTGGTTAACTTGAAAGGTTAACTGAGGTAGCTCTCGCTCCCACCCTCTGTCCAATAATGTGCTATCTCCTGCTCTCCACTCTGCAGTGAAGATGAGTGGTGGAGGCAGCAGAGGGTAAAGACCAGCAGAGCAGGAACCTGTTTGGCGATCTAAGTATGCAATAGAAGTAATGATAATCAGTGCAAATACTGGAGCAAAGTCCGAAAAGTCTAGTAGTATTTAGAAATAGTCTGGGTGACTTGGATAAAGGGGGGTCCATGTGGCTTTCAGGGCAACTCCATGTAGTACTGCAGCAGACTCTGTGTAGTAAGGAGAGAAGAAGAAGCGCCTCTAAGTGCAGCAGACCACTTTAATATATAATAAAAAGTAGGAACACTCACATGTTAATAGAGTAATAAAAGCATGTGGGGTATTGTGGTGTAGAAATACCATGTGGAACGGCTGTCACTGGTGCCTGTATCGTCCGCATCTCAATGGTAGGGAGCGTGGTTCAGAAGGGAGACAGATGTGGAGCCTGCCGACATGCACGTACTCCTAAAGATGGTGGCTGGAACACATGCTGAACCGCAACGTCGGCATAGGCGTGATGCCGTCAGTGATCAAGATGCAATGCGACGCGTTTTGGAGCATGTGCTGTCCTTTAGTGGCAGAAGCGCGCTCCTTTCTCAAGCAGCGGATGTACCCGTCAGCTGCCTGCAGTCGATGGGTAGGTCATAATCCCCGGTTTGCCAACCCCCGCCTTAAAGTGATTCTAAAGTTAGTGTGTTGAGTTTTTTTTACCTAAATGCACTCCCTCAGATACTCTAATTATCCCTTGGTCTCAATTCAGCCTAATCTATCCCTTCCCTTCACTAATAATTCTGCTTTGCCTGCTCCAAAAACGAGAGCAAGAGTGGAAAATGGTAATTCTACTTGCATCTACCTAGCCCAGAAGAATCTGGTATACAGACATACTTGAACCCTGACCTCTTCTCAACAGGCCATACCTGCTCTCTCCAGGCCATCTTTTCCACCCTGTTTTATGGTCCCTGGCTTTAACAGCATGGCTGCTGAAACCCAGGTCCTAAAGGTTAGAGGGATTTCTGAGTCTGTGACCTGGCTAAAAGCAAGAAAAAAAGCTACATCAGGAATATTTATTGCCTTGAAATTTTCCTTTGCCTGGTTCGAGCATCGTCAGTGCAGTCTCAGAGATTACACTGTGCCTTGCATTCTGGCCTTCCTGCACACAGGTTTTGTCTATAATCTAACTTTTAACACCCTAAATGGGCAGGTATTGGCTGTATCCATTTTTTTCCTAAGGCCTTTGGCTTCTAACTCCCTTGTGAAAACTTTTATTCAATATATTTCTCACACTAGGGCCCTCTTAGCAGCGCCCTATTCTTCCCTGAAACCTTAACTTGGGTCTATCTGCCGTCCAGATACCCTTTGAACTGTCAAGGATATTCTCTTAGTTATTCTTGCCAGCGAAGTAGTCTTTTTGGTCGTTCTAACATCTGTTAGATTTTATAGGCAGCCGTTTTTTGTAAAAAGAGATTTTTTCCATACTTCCAACGTATGATACTCCCAAGATCATTCTTTCTTCCAAAGGTGGTTTCAGCTTTCCATCTCAATGAGGACATTGTTCTGCCTCCCTTGTGTCTTGCTTCTAAGCATCCAGAGGAATTCTGTTTACATTGCCTGTACATAGTCTGAGTCATTAGAGTGTACCCAAAAGCTACTGCTTTCCATTAGTAAAGCCAATTCTCTGTCCTTTTCTTGGGACTTTCCACCCTGCTTCAGGATCCACCATTGCACGGTGGATCGGGAACTTGATTACTGGAGGTTATGGTTAAACACAAGCCACTTTGTGCGCTATTGCCAGCCCATTCCACCATACCTGTAGTGGTATCCTTGGCTTTTAGACACCAAGCCTCTGTTGCTCAACTGTGTAAGGCCACTGCCTGGTCTTTTGTTTATATTTTTACAAGGAGAAAGTCCAGTCAGTCTTCTGCTAATGCAACTTTTGGCCACAAGGTTCTTGCCTCTGCAATCTGAACTTTGGTCTTTGCCCCTTTTTTTTTTTTTTTTTTTTATTGGCACAGTTCTATTTGCCTAGTTGTTGCCCACCCTTTGTATTCATTGCTTGGGGATGTCCCATGGTGTGTGAATAAGTTGCCAGTGTCTGATTAAGAATATGATCAGAGGCATTTTCACTTGCCTCTAAACTCCATAACATGGAGTAGAGTACAGGCCACAGGCCTCTCTCCATAAGTCTTCTTGTTTACTCTACTTTGGTTGCTTTAAACCTGAGAACTGATAGACTAGGGTATGGTTATTGGGGGTGGCAGCAATAAGTTACCTGTGTCCTGTACTGTACTCCGAGATATGGAATTTACAGACCAGCCAAAGTTCCTTTTCCATTGTATTTTAAACTTATAAAATGATCTGTCTACAACTATCGGGTCAATTCAGAAAAGATTTTCAGCCCTCCGAAAAGCATGGATGAATTTTATCCAGTGAATAACATTCACAAAAATGTGGACTGTTGTGGTAGTAGATATTGCCGCCTCATTCTTAATCCTCTTACTGTACTGTGAATTCAAAGATTCTGCTTACTCTCAAACTTTTGCAGGTCCAGCTCTGCAACCAACTATTGCAACAATTTTATTTGTCAAACCGCAGCTAATTGGACAAGAGCAATGAAAAAACTACACAATCCTGTATTCTAGTACTGTAGTTTAAGCAATTACAGCAATTACTTCTGGTTTGGTGTAATTCTCCAGAATGACTCTGAATTTTGTTCAAATGCACAAAATGTTGTGGCGTAAAACCTAGTTAGCTGAAGCTGCCTGTGAAAGACACCTTACACAATGTGCCCTTTGAAGTTTTTTTATACCAGACCAAAGAGACCTCCTCCTGGAGGTCTCTTTGTTTTGGTACAAATTCAACAAAGAGGTAAACAGGAGGAAAGTTCCTTCTTCCAAAGTGGAAAGATCCAAAATTTCCTTCCTCAGGGACGTCCTCCTCCTGAAAATACAGAGCACCTCAGTGCTCTACCCACACTTTAACTGCAAAGTCAAAATTCAGTCCCTGCTTTCAGTGCAAGACTTTATCCACAATGCCCACTAACTGTTCATGAAAGCCCTTTTCCCACTGAATAGGTACCCTCACTCTGAAGAGTGGTGAAGTATCTGTTAAAGTTGCAGACTTTCCAGGCCTGTGGATTCAATCAGTGGTTTTAATGGGGTACAACGTACAGTTTAAACCTACCCCCTTAATGCTTTCTTGTCTCAAATCAGCAAAAATCTGCCCAAGAACAGTAACATTTGCAGAAATTCCTGAACCATTTCTTGTCTCGGGGAACATGGTATTGAAGCTCAGTGGGGATATTCATCCTGTTCTGGACTTAGGATTTCAAGGTATGCAAAACTATATTAAAGTTCTGGGTATGGGTATTTTATACATAGTTTCATTGGCCCAGTTTGGGCCAATGTAACTGCATATATCATACCTGGTTGATGCCCCTGGAAGCTGGAAATTGCTGAAAAAGAAACCGCTACTCCAATGATCTCAAGACTCCACCACGTTTTCCCCATTCAGTCTTCCCCATGTAGTCTTCCCAATCAAAGGGCATCCTCGCTTTGAAAGAGTGGGGGGACGTGCATTAAAGTTTGCCTTTTTTTGGGTCAGAGATGTTTCAAGTCTGTGGATTCAACCGATAATTTCAATGAGGTACAAAAAGAGTTTAGAACTCTACCCCCTCACCACTTCCAGTTTGTCACACTGCCATTTTCCTTCTCTTCGCCCAGAGTATTCACAAAGGTACTTGCACCCATTTTTGCCTTCCTAGGTACTCAGGGCTTTAAGGTCAAAGGTATCTATATGATCTTCTTCTAAAGAACTCCTCCCTTCTAGCTATCTGCGAACATCCCACAGGAACATTCAGATAGATCAGGCTTTTGGTTGCATAATCAACTTCACAAATCCACTCTCCAACTTTTTCCCTCGTCTGGAGCACTTGGGTCTAGACACTTTCCTCTGAGATTCTCCCCCAGAAATGAGAGATCCCGAATATGGATATTCAGGCCTCTAGATTTGGCAAAAAAATGCCCCTGTTTTTGGCCAGTTCCAAAAGATCCTCAAGCACTGGCATTGGATGCTGTGATAATCCCCTGCTCTTAGTTCAGGTTGATTTATGCCTTACCCTCCAGTCTATATTCTATATCAGTCACACCACAAAATAAAGCAAGACAAGAAGCCGGTGATTCTTATAGTACCCAATTGGCCCCGAAGAACCTGGTACACAGACATACTCAGACTACAAGCAGACAACCCCTGGCCTCTTCTCAACAGGCCAGACCTGCTGTCCCAGGAACGTGTGTGTCATCCTGCTTCTCAGTCACTAGCTGTTGCAACATGGCTGTTGCCATGAATGGTCCGAGTACCTACTGTACGAAGAGAGTATCATCCCTAACTTGGTTAAAGCAAGAAAAAAACACTACCAGAATGGTCTAATATTGTAAGGTATTGCTTAGATCAAGCTCCACTTGCGGCACCCTGTGCTTCCTGTGTACCTCAACGTTGTTCTCTCTGCCCTGCAGAAACCACACTTATGAACACATAAAGGATATTCCCTTAGATGGCCTCTCCCACAGGATAGCCTTTTGGTCTCCATCACTACTGTGAGACATGTCTGAGTTTGTATTGCTCTTTTACAAAGAGCCACTTTTCATTTTACATAATGACAAGGTACTCCTATGCTCAGTGCCATCCATCCCTATGAAGGTGGTATCAGACTTCCACCTCAATTAAGTTATAAATGTTCAAGTGAATAATAAATGGGACTTTAAAATATACCTCTGGCGTTCACCAATAAATCAACCTATAACAACTATATACACTCACCTGCCACTTTATTAGGTACATCTTGCTAGTACCGGGTTGGACCCCCTTTTACCTTCAGAACTGCCTTAATTCTTTGTGGCATAGATTCAACTGATTTTGGTCCATATTGACATAATAGCATCACGCAGATGCTGCAGATTTGTCGGCTGCACATCCATGATGTGAATCTCCTGTTCCACCACATCCCAAAGATGTTCTATTTGATTGAGTTCTGGTTACTCTGGAGGCCATTGGAGTACAGTGAACTCATTGTCATCTTCAAGAAACCAGTTTGAGATTATTTGAGCTTTGTGACATGGTGCATTATCCTGCTGGAAGTAGCCATCAGAAGATGTGTACACTGTAGTCATAAAGGGATGGACATGGTCAGCAACATCACTCAGATCAGCCATGGCATTCAAAGGATGCTCAATTGGTACTAAGGGGCCCAAAGTGTGCCAAGAAAATATCCCCCCCCACACCATTACACCACCAGCCTGAACCGTTGATACAAGGCAGGATGGATCCATACTTTCATGTTGTTTACACCAAATTCTGACCCTACCATCTGAATGTTGCAGCTGAAATCAAGACTCATCAGACCAGGCAATGTTTTTCCAATCTTCTATTGTCGAAATTTTGATGAGCCTGTGTGAATTTTAGCCTTTGTTTCCTGTTAGTTGATGGGAGTGGCACCTGGTGTGGTCTTCTGCTGTTGTAGCCCATCTGCTTCAAGGTTCAACATGTTGTGCGTTTAGAGATGGTATTTTGCATTCCTTGGTTGTAACGAGTGGTTATTTGAGTTACTGTTGCCTTTCTATCATCTCAAACTAGTCTGCCCATTCACCTCTGACATCAACAAGGCATTTTCTTCCACACAACTGCCGTTCACTATAATATTTTTTCTTTTTTGGACCATTCTCTGTAAACCCTAGAGATGGTTGTGCATGAAAATCCCAGTAGATCAGCAGTTTTTTAAATACTCAGACCAGCCCGTTTGGCATCAACAATCACGGCCAGGACAAGGGGTGGGCAGGAGAGACGGCTGCCTTGGGCATGCATAAACTCCACATAGAGATATCTAGGAAAACCCAGAATGAAAATGGTATATAGATTGTAAATTATAAACTACTACACCCACCAATAACCATAAACAAGCCCGCCAGTATCTAAAGACACATACATGAGGGATTATCCCTCCTCACCTTGGATGACATCTGCTTCAAACGGCGTGCACAGTACAAAGGGAAGAAAACTCAGACCTTAAGTATGTAAAGGGGAGGGGGGCTCTGAGGGTCGCCCACACACATGAACACACAACTAATGAGGAGCAAGTGTGTCCACTGCATGTGGGAGGACCGCTCCCCTTCATTCGCTGTCCGCCAGGGAGTGCCAATACAGCGGATGACAGATGGAAGGGGAGTGGTCCTCCTGCATGCCATGGACACACTTGCTCCTCATTAGACGTGTGTTCATGGTGTGCTGGCAGCCCTCGGAACTCCTAAAAAAGTGGGAGTACCCACAAAACACGTAGACCTACATCATTGGGCGCATGGCACATTCAGGAAAGACTGTGTATTGCATTTGAACCTTTGACTGTAATCAATAAAATAAACATTTTCTGATTTTTACATATATACAGTGTATAGTTATGTTGATTTATTTGTGAACACCAGAGATTTAGTTAAAGTTTCATATCTTATTCACTCAAACACTTTCCAGTATACAGGATGATACCCTGGTAGTTCAGTTTGTATTTTACACCCTACCTCTTCTATCATAAACCCCTATGGATTTTCAATGAAGTTATAGTTCTTCCATGCACCAAAACCCCCAAAGAAATTGATCTCCATTTCGTGGTCCGAGCAATCACAATCTACCTCAAAGCAACAGATTCTTTTGAGAAGATGGACACCCTATTCATGCTACCCTCAGGACCTCGCAAGGGATACCCTGCTTAAGTCAACTATTGCTTGCTGGATCAGGGAGCTGATCACTAGAGCTTTCACTCTGAAGAACAAAACTTCTGCTGTCCTTTTTTATGCTCCCACTTCCAGCACCTGGCCACTGTAGTCCAGCCCTTTAAGGCCTCCACCTGGTCGACTTTGTTGATAATGTTTCAAGTTTTACAAGGTAGATGTCCAATCTTTTGCAATTGCAGCCTTCTGCCACAAGGTTCTTGCAGCCACACTTAGTTGGGTCTGCAAACTATTTTGCTGGACCTGTTGGCACAGCTCTGTTTAACTTGTTATTGCCCACCCTTCTCATTCATTGCTTGGGGACATCCCAGGGTTTATGAATATTCGGCCTTTGTCCTGTACAGTACAGTTAATAAAAGAGGAAGTTGACATATTTCTAAATTCCATTTCTTAGATTACAGGCCACCCTCCCTTCTGTTCTTTGGTTACTCTGTATTTCTTGCTACAAAACTGAGGACAGAGTGTGGCAGGGTTGTTAGGGAGGCTCCCAGGGGAAGTGTCCTCAAAAGCTTTACCAGTGTCCCAGGACCGAATACTTGATTTGTGTCCTGTATTGTAAACCAAGATATGAAATATTCAGGTAGCTCAAAATTGATTTTTGGCTTAGGCCCCTTGCACACGGGCATTCAGTTCAGTCCACCTGTCAGTGTTTCAGGCAAACCTGATTGGATGGTCAATGTATCCTTATGGACTGACAGGTGTAAATACACTTGTGTCCATTTACTCCCGCCTACATCCAGTCCGCTAAAAACAAACGGAAGAGGTTCCATTCTCTTCCATGTAGGCAGATCGACTCTGAGGTAGTCAGGTGTAAGCGGACAGCCAGTCCATGTACACCCGACTGTCCATAGGGCGGAATAGGCTGTCAGTGTCTGTTCTACATAAACTGAGCAGACACAGTCCTGTCATCTGCCCACTCTGCTCAGCAGAAAAAGAGGATCTGCCTCGTGGGGAAAGGGGCCTTTATCTGTAAATTCTAAATCTTGAAGTACAGTACACAGGCCACTGTCCTCTTTGTTCCTGTGTGGTTAAGCATTTTTTTCTACAAAACTGAGGGTTCACAGAGTTTGGTAACTCCCAAGCAGTATGTCTTTAAAAGCTTTGCCAGTGTCCAATCACCTCAAGGTACCAGCCTATAACCCAATGTATATGTCTGAGTGTACTGTATTTTCAAGATATGGAATTTACAGGATACAGATACAGGAATTTGCTATGTATGCAACAGTCACATGTACCCTTTTTTGTTTTTAATGCCCGTCACTTTTCTATGTTCTACTTACAGCCGTCTTTGTGGGAGTCCTTGTCCAGCTGTCTGGCCAGATGTTATCAAACTACCATATTTCAACACCATGAAACCGAAGAAGCAGTATAGAAGGCGATTACGGGAGGAATTCTCCTAGTAAGTCTTTGTGTTGGTAGTATGCTTTTAGCTTGAATGCATATAAAGACTCAGGGAATTGTGCTTAAAATCCAGAGGGGGTCAAGCACTAGCCATCAGTATTGCCTGTAGGCTCCCTGCCACTGATCGTTATCCATTTATTGACTCACTCACCATGCCACATTCTGCACTGTCTCTTCTTTATGTCAGAGCTGTCTCTCTGATGACCAGTGGGGTCAGTATTCAAGAAGCATCAGGGAACGCAAAGAAAACACAGCTCTGCAGAGAGTGAAGCAGAAAAGGGGAGATCCTTGAACTGCAGATCCTTATGTGCATTTTCAGCAGGTAGAGCAGTTAGCAGCACAGCAGTGACATCGCCAAATCTCATAAGACTCCCACTGATCTCACACTACAGGTATACTGCAATGAGACTCAAGGAACATGAAGTATACTTGTTTGTTTCAGGAGAAATTCCGTGCACACCTCCTATTTTTTTTTTTTTTTTCAGGGTACTAAGGCACAAATAGCTTTTTTAGATCTTCCCTGTAAGCATATATTTTTTTCAATTCAGGCCCAATTGAATCTCTTGTAGACATCAGTAGGCTAGAACTGCACCAAAGATTTTTAGTAGTATAGTTGTATTACTTAACTCATTTGCAATTTTTGCTAGAAATCACACTTTATCTCTAAACTAATGAAATGAATAGTTTCCTATGGAGTAAGCTGCACAGGGAGAATGCTGTAGCATATATATATCACTTATGATTGGACTACTGGTGTGATTATGCACAATTGATTATTACGGTTTCCTTTTTGTGTAGCTTTACATAGGTAACAACCACCCTTTTTTCCATGGCTGCGTTTTTAATTCCTGGCTTTTTGTTCATTGTTTTGGTTAGGAATAATAGGGCTGTAACTGTTTTGGTTAGGAATAATAGGGCTGGTCCAACTGATTCCATCTTGCAAACCTCTTTTGTGCACAGTAGGGCATTTTGCTTTGGTATTTTCCTGTACAAAGCTGGTTGTTGAGCAACTTCTCTGAGAGACAGTTAAAACATAAAAATGACATTCATGAAAATATAAAAACAAATGCACAGTGATTGTTGCGAAGAACTGCATTTTAGAGACTTACAGTATACAAATATTAAGGTTTGTGTCAGACAGTTTTTGCAATCTGGCACAAGTCTTAATGATCACAAAAATGTCTCAAACAACTGATGCCAGTGACAGAAGCCCAAAGCCTGTCAACACAGGCCCTTTCGCAATGTATTTTATTGGGCTGTATGTGACCTGCACTCTTGTGTTTGCCTTTATTTTCAGCATTCCAACTCCTGCTTTGGATCTCCTAGACCACATGCTAACCCTGGATCCCAGCAAGCGTTGCACTGCAGAACAGGCTCTTCTGAGTGACTTCCTAAAGGATGTAGATGTCAGCAAGATGCCTCCTCCAGAGTAAGTCTAGCCCAATACAAATATAGGTTTAGGAACATAGGATTTTATTAATATAAATAAATATACATACTGGATTGCTCTTAAAGGGAAAGGCTTACTGTGTGGTAGGCTGATATTAAAACTATTTGTTTTATAAGCTTAAACAAGGTTAAAAAAAAAAAAAAATTGTTTCTTGCCTATTTTACATGGTTGGAAGTAAGCATACATTTCCAAATGCTCTCCGGAACGCACGCCAATTGAAAACCGGAAGTGCAGCTTAGCAGTGGAGCGCACGCTGGTCAGAAACCATAAGTGCGGCTCCGCCATGCGTTCCACCTGCTGCCTCCTCCCATAGACGTCACTTCTGGTCTTGCGAGATGTGTGTCATTTCCAGTGTCTCCAGGCTAGAGGGAAACCCAGAAACCACCGGTTACAGGGGACATAGGACTGACACAAATGAAAAAAAAGACTGAGAAAACAAAAACATTTTTTCAGCAATCAGTCTTTTTGTTTTGTCTTATTTTTTTTGCTTTTTTTAAAGATTCTAGAGACAGAACGTTTGAGAGGTTTGTGAAGACTCTTTACTCTGGCCAGCTCAGTCCTGCAACCAGTCCTTACTGCAGTTTCAGTATGTTAACCTGCAGCTATTCTGCCCTGCTCTTTATGTCCCATTATAGCTTTGGGAGTCATGCTTGAAACTGTCAGTCTTGCCACACAAGCTTTCTCTTTCTTATCCAGGCAGAATCTCAGGCCTTATGTTCAGCCTCCCCTCTGAACCGGGCTTTGACTTTACTCTTGAGCTCAACATGTTATATGAAGAGGGAGGTAGTATTTGAGTAGTCTAGGGAATTGGATGAGGATGATGTTGTATGCGACTGTTTAGCTTTAGAGCAACCCGAGTCTGCTCACCCCAAGGTCTCCAGAATGGTTTGTTTTAAATAGCCCAAACCAGCTAAGCCTTAACCGCGCCACTTGCTGATGAAGCCTGTCCTATATGTGGACTGGCCTCATTTGGAGAAGATCTTCACTCCTACAAAGAGCTGTGTTCAGCAATAACCGACTGACAAAGTTTCCTGCCTAAGTGGGCAGTGCCGGTGTGTAGATCCTGGTACCTTTCCCCCTTTAGTTATGCAAGTCCAAGTTTAAAGCTGGCCATAGACAGAGCAGTTCTCTTTATGGTTGCAGGGATAACATTGCCCAATTTCCCTCCTAATACAGCCATCTTTGTCCTGGGCCATGCCCTGGTGATGATGTGTTTGTAGTCCAAATCATAAGTGTAGTCTGAGGTGACAGCACTTTTTTCTTTTTAGTTAAATGCAGTGAGGCAGGGCAAGATCACCAGGTAAAAATATACTGTAGATAACAAGCCTGTAACAAAGAAAACTAAAGTCCATCTTTCTCAGCAGAGTCTGAAAAACTTTGCAGGTTTTTCTTTTAATCCAAAAGAGTTTCTATTAGCATTAAAATCGGCAGAGTAACCACTTTAATGTTGACAAAGGCATGCATATATTTGTACATATTCAGTCATGGGAATATATTTAAAAAAAAAAAAAGTCTCTTCAATGTAGCATACACAGAAGGAATGTAATACATCAAGTACGAGCTGCGTCTAATGAACAGCAAGTAGAGGATTCTACTTGCCACATACTCCAAATTTTTTTGAACATTTTTTTTTCAGGCAGCCTCTGTTCTAGATAAGTTTGTATACTGGCATATTTTATTCTCTGCTTTCCATTGTTCTAAAGCAGGATCCACACCTTAGCAATCAGCTTTTTTGACCGTAAACAATACCTCAACCAAAAAAAGGTGCCCTGATGAAAGTTTAAAATTTATTGCTGTCGGAGGTCCTAGCAGTCATAGCCAAGAGTCCAGTTGTACCACAAACCTAGGAAGTTATGTAAAAAGGTAAATTGCTTCCAGTAGATCTGTACTTGTGGGCAGAACCAAAGCAGGTGGAAGAAAGGAGCCAGGGCACCTTAAGACTTAGGCCTGGTTCACACTAGTGCACTGGGAAATCACATTTTCAGTGGTGCCTGTTCACATTAATGCGGCTCAGCGCGCAGTGATTTTGGAAGAGCTTCCTGTACTACCTTGTTGCGATTCCAGTGCGATTTTGACCCATAGAATATACAATCCTTATCAAAGTTTCATCCAAGCAGCACTATGTAATCGCACTGCTAGTCAAATCAAAATCATGTTGCAGGAATGTTTATTGTTTAGATTAATTAAAACCTACAAAAAAATTGTTGTATAATTTAGTTAATATGTAAAGTTTAAAAAACTATTTATTCTTTAACCACTTGCCCTGCCCTGAGTATTTACCCCCCTTCCTGACCAAGCCATTTTTTGCGTTATGGCGCGGTTAGTTTATCTGACAATTGCGCAGTCATGCAACGCTGCACCCAAATGAACTTTACATCCTTTTTTTCCCCACAAATTGAGCTTTCTTTCGATGGTATTTGATTGCCTGTGCGGTTTTGATTTTTTTTTTTTTTTTAAAAAGACCTACAATTTTGAGAAAAAAAACTATATTTTTGACTTTTTGCTATTGAACATGTCCAGTAAAAAAAATTAAATTTCGTCTTTGCTAAAACAAAAATTCCAATACGAGTAAATTAATTGGTTTACGTGAAAGTTATAGCCTTTACAAATGGCGTTATGTATACTGAGATTTAAATAAAATTTTTTTTACTAGTAATGGTGGCTATCATTGACTTATAGCGGCACTATGGCGGGCACTCTGACACTGGGGGGAACTGACTTGGTGTCACTGACATCCCCAGTGACACCAATACAGTGATCGGTGCTAAAAAAAAAAAAAAAAAAAAAAAAAAAAAAAAAGCGCTGAAGCTGAACTAATGGCACTGGGCTGGAATGGGTTAATCTGAAGGGTTAACTGTGTGCTGGGAGTGCTTTACTAGAGGGCGCAGTGTCTGTGTGCTTCACTGTACTCACACTGCTGCCCCTACTCGGAAATGCAAAATCACGTGTGTATATATATATGTGATTTTGTGCACCCGTGCTGCCATGTAGCACTATTTCTGCTATAGGGTGGATGGGAAGCTGTTAATATCTATATGCAGTGATACATATAAATAACCAGCTATATGATTAATGAACAAAATATCTAATACACTCTGAGAATAACAGAAAAGATAGATATATAGATATACTTAGCGGATGAATCATCAGAGTCAGAGATCAACATTTTTATGTAACGTAAACAAAATTAAAAAAGACCGAAAATGCTGTTTTGCACATTTTCAGACAGGATTTTAATATAAAATTATGCAGGACTCCCTTGTCAAAGGCAGGTAGCTTAATACAAGCTACCTGTGTCTGCTGTCACGAACACATTTAGTAGAAGCAACATGCTTTTTGTATCTGTCATGATGGGGTTATAAAAACAAAAGTTAGCCCTTTATAGTACAAAACCAGCAGATAATCACTACTATATGGGGTTAATTTATACCATGAAACAGTGGAAGTAATATATTTATATATAACTAGAAAAGCTACAATTTCTGGGGAAATTGTGTGAAGTGTTCTGGTCTCCACCAGTAGTCTACAACTGGAGTGGGCAGAGTAACTTGGTGGAGTTGCTTGAGTAACTGTTGTGTGGTTGGAGTGGCTGGAGTAACTGTGAAAAGGTTGGACTGGGCAGAGTAACTTTATAGAGTGGGCAGAGTAACTGTGTGGAGTGTTTGGAGTGAGTAAAGATAGTAAACATTACACTAACCAATTGACTGATCAATTTTAAAAAGTGCACATGGCAAGCTTGATAGAGTGAGAAATGCATTTCAACTTTTATTTTTCAGCTCACACTCTAGCTTTTGTCACTCTGCTGCCTGCTCACACACCTAGGTTCCTATGGCAACTCACTCTACAGCAAGGGCAGAGAAGAGCGGTTAAAAACAAACTGCTCTAACTTGCTCACTTCACTGGCGGTTGCCATCTTCAAATGGTTGTAGTTTAAAAATTATAAATCCTACACCGAAGAGCTTTATATTGTGAGAATCACAAGACACAGACCTACATTATGTCTCTGAAATATTAAAAATGAAGGCACAGTTGCTGTTTAGAAATTGCCCTTCAAATTTGAGGTGGCTAGAGTGCAGTTTCAAACAAATGGTCATATTGTAAAAACTATCAGGACTATAACTTAGCTGTGGACATTTTTAGTGGCAGCAGGGATAGCTAAATTTGATATAAGATTTGTGTAGGTGGGCTTGAAAATGAGGGAGTGATGGCAGTTTAGAAATCATGTCCTGATTTTTCAGCTCCCACTTTAGCTTTTGTCAGCTCCCACTCTAGTTTTGAACATTTCTCCATTCATTCCTATGGGACCAATTTCACCACAAAAACGCCGATATTTCGTGAACCATTCGGCGAAACGTTCCACAAAGTAATAGCACACCAATTGGGAACAATCCGCACATTTCGGTATATTACTGTCTATGTAGTGTAAAAACTGGGGGAGGAGTTAGGGTGGTAAATTTGGCTATAATAATAAGAATATATATGTGAGATAACCGTAAGTGGTCTGCCATGCAAGAACACTTAATGATAATAAATATACCCAGAAGTAGGATATACAGGGTATTTTAACTGGGTGCCAGACATGAATCTATATGAATGGTGGAGGGGGGGATAAATATCTTTCATATAAAAGTAGACTTTTATTCCATGGATATAATCATTTCTAAATACACAACACTGGCAAACTTTTACTTAAAATTTAAGTGTAATGCCTTATATTACCTCCAGTCTATCAGCTTCCAGTTTCTCTGGGTTCTTATGCGGATCTTCCGTGCTTAGAGCCCTTCAAGTCATTGTATACGTTGATTTTTTTTTTTTTTTTTGTAAAACAAACTTGTCATACTTACCTGCTCTATACATTGGTTTTGCACAGAGCAGCCCCGATTCTCCTTTTCTGGGGTCTCCTGCTAGTGCTTCTGGCTCCTGCCTTCAGAGTGCCCCTATAGCAAGGCGCAAAGTATAGTACAGAGTATAGCAAGGTGAAAAAAAAAATCTAGAATCCCTTTGAATCACTTCCTTTTCCTGCCCAGGACTATATGTCCCACAAGGCATTGCTCCTCACACATTCACAAGTTCTCAGACATGTATGAATGATGTACTGAGCTGTATGTGTGCTGCACTGTATTTTTTGTAAACAAATAATGCATTCTCTGTTCAGGCTAACTACGATGGGCGTTCAAGTCAAACCGGGATTTTTGAGTTTGTATAAAAAAAAAGAATAAGTGCAAAACTACGTTTATTTTTTGACACACTCTCCTGCTACATTTATACAAGTATCCATGTATTTAATGCCTGGAAAGCTTCAGCATAGATTTGTCAGTATGCCTGAACCATCTTAGGACAGACTGCTTCAATCATCATTGTGTTCATCATTCCCACAGAAAGTTTAGTCTTTTGTACAGTTTCACAACAGATTATTTGTTGATTATCCAGGATCAGGCGTTTCACGCACTCAACATTCTGAGGAATGATTACTGTGGTCTGGGAACCACCATGGCCGGGATCGTCACTGACAGATGTACAGCCATCTTTGAAATGTTTAGATGTCTTATTGCGGCTGAGCTTCTCATCGCCGTACTGTGCTTGAAGTCTTCTGTAGATATCCGCGGGTTTTTCACCTACGTTCACAAGAAACTTCATCACCACACATTGTTCCATGCATGCACTACTGCTGTTGTCTGTCATCTTGATTAATAGCCGCCTATCATTAATAGGACTCACTTGCCACCTTCTGCTGTGTTGTACCACCACTCTAGCATCCTGTACCTGTAAAATTTTTAAAGTCCCGGTTTGACTTGATTGCCCCTAGTAATTTGCTGACCAACTAATCTATAATGAAAATAGCTGACAACCGACTAGTTGTCTCAGACCTAGAGCAGGGTATACAGCATATAATCGAGAACCGCGCACAGGTCCAATGTAATTGGCCCTGTTTTGTGTGATCTCTGTGACTAATCACAGCGATCACACTGGTAAACAAAGGCAGCCTTTGAGCCATTTCCTTTCACAGTGATCGACTTTGAGAGGAAACAGAGTGTTGACTACAGTGATCAGCACTGTAATGAACATTTAAACTGTAAAAAATACAGAAAAAAAATCCCCCCTCCCCCCCCAAAAGTACAGTGTCACAATGGTGACATTGTACTGCTGTCTATTGATCAAAGACGGGCTGCTAGTGCATCAGCCAATGTCACTGATCATAAGCCACAGTAGTACAATGTCACCATATTGACACTGCACTGTTCTGGTGGTGGTATGTTAAAAAAAAAAAAAAAAATGTATTTGTTACATACTGTCACTAGAACAAGCACAGTGTCACTATGGTGATTTTGTATTGCTGTGGCAGTGATCATGTATAGTGGCTAGAGGCTCTCATTGTCAGTGCAATCTGCCAAAGCAGTACAGTGTCACTGGACCAGTGCAGGCAGTCAATGTCCCTGATCACCGCCACACCATTCCCAGTGTTCAGATCACTGTTCAGAGAACAATTGACAGGCAGTGAGGAGGTGTCGCCTCCTCACTGCCTGATTTGCCACCTTGGACCCCCCAAAAGTGCCTCCATTTACTTGAATTGTTCACGATTGACAGGCACTTTGCACTCCAAAAGCGGTAGGGGGTATAATTCCTACCACAGCTGTGAAGAAAAGCATGGCAGCTGTGGCATGTGTACACTTCCAACCACTGGCTTTGCAGCTAAATGGGATTGCAGTTCAGGGGTGGTAAAACCATGGCCCAGCTGTAAGATTTTACTGCCCTTCAACCTCATGTGTGAAAGAGCCCTAATAATGCAGCCGGTCCGTGTCGCCAAACCAGTATAGCTGGAAACAATATTCCTGATTGCTGCCACACCAGACCAGTGCAGCCAGCAAATGTTTTCCCCGATCACTGCCAAGCCAGTCCGTATCACCGACCAGTGTATGCCAGCACGTGTTCTTTCCACCAACGCACCAGTCGCAATGTCAACAGACCTTTCTATGCCAGCAACAGTGTTCTTGATTGCCATCACACAAGTTCCAGTTTCACCAGACCAGTAATCCAGCAACAGTGTCCCTGATCACTGCCACACCAGTCCCAGTGTCACCATTTCAGTGTAAGCCAACAACAGTGTTTCTGATCCCTGCCACTCTCTATTTCTTCCTTTCTTCAGTCTCCTATACCTCCTGGCAAGTGAGCATGGCATTCTGGGGGGCAGCCACTTACCAGTAGGCAAGACTTGCTTAGCTTTTAGAACATGGCTGCTATAGGTGGTGATGCACTAAGCTATATTCCCTGTCCATTTGTACAGAGGTAACCATTACTGTACACAACTTACAGTGTCTGGCACATACTTAGTCAAAATATTAAAAAATCTCATGTATTGTACTTGCTTTTCTTTTCAGAAAATAATTTGGGGTGTTTGCTTTCCAAAATGTGGGCATTTTATGGATGTTTCTCCTGTCCCGTCATGTCAGAGACTCAAGTAATATGATACGTAATCAGGAAATTACACTCATAATTTATGCTATTTGAAATCCCAAAGATGCTCCTTGGATTTTGTGCCTTTCTATGCATTTAGGCTGTGAAAAAGTCTCACATGTGGTATCCCCATACTTGGGAGGAGTAGCAGAATGTGTTTTGGGGTGTAATTGTAGGTATGCCTATGCTGTGAGAAATAACTTATTAAAATGTCAACTTTGAAAAAAAATCACATTTTATTTAATTTCTTAATTTTCCAAACATTTCTGACAAAAAATTTCAACTTAAAAGAACTCAAGAAAACGTTTTTTTTTTTTCTCTCAAAAAAACTCTAAAAAACAATCATTTGGATACAGTGTTGCATGAATGAGTAGTTATTCAAAGTTCAGCAGCTCTGAAAATGGAAAAATGGTTCGGACTGGTAGAGGGTGAAACAGTCCATTTTTCAAGTGGTTACGTTTATAAAAGCAGCAATAGTTTGATGGATCTAGAAATTCTTTTGGATATTACTCATTACTGGAACCAATTAAGGTAGTAAATTATACAACATGTCGGTGATCACACACAAATAATATTTGTTTTAGGTAGATTTGTGTTTTTTTGTGATATTGTATAACATTATGAACCAGACTTAAATAAGTCCTTCTTTCTTATAGCCTTCCCCACTGGCAGGACTGTCATGAGTTGTGGAGCAAGAAGCGCAGAAGACAGAGACAGAGTGGCATCATTCTGGAAGAGCCACCTGCCATTAAAGCTCCAAGAAAAGAAAGTATAGCAGCAGTTGGCACAGAAACGGTCAAAAACAGCAGCCCAGCCCCTTCTCAGCCAGTCAAACCAGAACCTATTGCAGCTGACTTGAGTAAGTAGCCATTCATAAACTTTGTAGTCAAGCACGTTTGTAATTCTTTTCAAGAAATTGGACAGCTCTGTCATGTTGCCAAAGAGGAAATTCACCCCCTCCCTTATTTTTTGCTTGGAAATCCATAAATACACATATGCCCAGCAATCCACTGGTCTTCTGTAGGAGTCAAATGCACCACTGCTGCACTTCAGGCCGTCTCTTCTGGGTTTTTGCAGCCAGCTGCGTGGTGATGCAGCATGTCTTCGGGAAACCGGCTGGGATGCGTGATATGGGTATCTCAGGAGGCTGCAGGAATTAACACATCATTCTCACCTAGGTGAGAACATAGGGGGTGGGGAAGAGAATTCCATGGAAAAAGGTGATTGAAAAATTGCAATACAATTAAAAATCAATGTACTTTTCTGAGGGGGTGAGGAGTAACTAGGGATGAGATGACAGAACGTGGCTGGGGAGGGTGAAGGTTCGTTTTAATCACTATTTTTTGCTTGCTTCATCATCTGTATATCCTAATCGTACAGTACAGGACAGATGGCATGTATTCATAGTCTGAGTTATATGCAGGTTACCGTCAAGTGATTGGTCACTGGCAAAGAACTCTGCTTGGGCCACCCCAAGTTGCACACTCCTATAACTCCACACACTGTGAGTTTTTTTTTTTTTTTTAATTTGCTAGCATCATAGTACTAGAATCACACTATAAAGTTAGACGAGAAGCAGTTTAATCTTTACTGCTTAAGCAGTTCTACATTTAGAGCAGTAAGGATCTGGAACTCTTTTCCACAGTGTGTGGTGTCAGTGGGGAGTGTAGATAATTTCAAAAACTTTTAAAAATGTTTCCCAGTGAACACATTGTACAGGGTTTTGGAAAATGGTAGTGACAACACACACACACGTTGAATTGGATGGAGCACGGTCTTTATTCAACCTTACCAACTATGTATGTAAAACTGTACTGCTTATTGCCCAAGGCTGTCTAGCAGTTTCTGGATCGGTAACCCCTGTGTTAACCCTGGGGGGTTAGACCTGCACCCCACTGTGTGGGGCCAGCCTGTAATGGCACTGGATCCTGCATTAGGCAGTCATCTTTTCACGTAGCCATTTTGGTATTTTGCCCGCTGTGATAGGGGAAGCCTGGACCTGGACAGGCCCAATGATATGGACAAGGTAAGACAGGGTTTCCCTTCAATTTGGGCCATTCCTGGCTGTGCACACCCCGCAGTGCTTGGCACATAAGCAGATGCACCTTCGTCTTGTGTTAGGGTCGGCACCGACCCGTTTTTAGGTTTTAAATGCATAAAATAACCATATAAATGTGTTTATTGCATCAAGGCTTTATGACTTTGTCAGGAACCTCTATTTCAACAAAATAAAAAAAAAATTGTTTTCACTAAATTATAAAATGCTCAAGTTCAAATTATGATCTTTGTGTTAGGGTCGGTTTTGACCCAGTTATAAAAATAAGATTATAAAGCAATAATTAGAGCCAAAACTGAAATCATAAGTTCACTGTCAACCAGCACACTGACAGCCAGCTCCTCTCCCAATCATGTGAGCTTTAGGGGATTCTCATTTTGCCTTGTTTTCCAGTATACTTGCACAAAAACAAAACAAAGACGGGCATGTCCAGACATGTGAGGCCAATTCAGTATAGAACTGGAGACTTGCAGAGTGCACATTTCCAATTTGTAGCATGCAAAAATGAGAAGATTTTCATTGAGGAGGCCACCGGTGCTAAAGCTGCTCCCGCTGAAATATTCAAGTCCAAAAATGGTACGCTCTGTTGGAGCTCAGTACCTCCTGATGTACATGGCAGGGCAGCTGCTGCAAATGTCATCAAAATGACCCCTGGAATCGCAAGGTTTGCTGTGATGAGAGTCGGTGACATCAAGACATGTTTTGAGCTATTTATGCCATTGTCACTAAAAAGAGTCATCATTGCTATGACAAACCTTGAAGGAAAAAAAGTCCATGGCAGCATGTAGAAAGACATTGATGAGGAATACCTGGATGCCTATATTGGTATTCTTCTTCTTGCTGGAGTGTACAGATCCTGCAATGAGGCCACTGATAGTCTGTGGGACGCATCGACAGGCAGAAATATTTTCCGGGCAGCAATGTCACTTCAGACCTTTCAAATGATATCAAGAGTCCTCAGATTTGGCAACAGAGATACCAGAGCAAGATCTGACAAGCTTGCCCCCATCAGGGATGTCTGGGAGAGATGGGTGCAGCTCCTTCCACTGATGTTCAACCCTGGGCCAGAGGTGACAGTGGATGAACGTCTTGTCCCTTTCCGAGGAAAATGCCCCTTCCGGCAATACATACCCAGTAAGCCAGGGAAGTACGGCAAAAAAATCTAGGCAGCCTGTGATGCAAAAACCAGCTATGCCTGGAATCTACAGATTTACACAGGCAAAGCTGCAAGTGGCATCCCCGAGAAAAACCAAGGAAAACGTGTGGTCCTCGATATGACTACTGGACTGCAGGGTCACAATATCACTTGACAATTTTTTTTACCAGCTATGACCTTGGACAAGAACTTCTCAGGAGGAAACTTACCATGGTGGACACAGTGAAGAAAAATAACCCTGAGCTGCCTGCTGAAATCTTGCAGGTGAAGGACAGGGCTGCACTGTCCACAAAGTTTGCTTTTACAGACACCACCACTGTTGTCTCATATTGTTCAAAAAAAAAAAAAAAAAACGGAATGTGATACTATGTCTACTCTTCACAAAGATGCAGCTGTGTCATCCGGAAGTGACAAAAAGCCCACAATTATCCTCGACTATAACAAAAACAAAGGAGGAGTGGACAAGCTGACTGCCACCTACACTTGCCAGCGAATGACCAGGATATGGCGACTGGTTGTGTTTTACAACATCCTTGATGTATCTGCATATAATGCATTTGTGTTGTGGACCCACATCCACCAAGGATGGAACTCAACCAAAAAAAACAAGCGGAGAATGTTTCTTGAGGGGCTGGGAAATTCCCTTGTCAAGCCACACATTGAGCGAAGGGAACGGGTGCCCCGAGACCCAGATGCTGCAGTCTTGGTCAGACAGCTGCAGAGGTCACCTAGCACTTTGTCCACGCCAGCATCCGCCTCAGCCAGCCCTGCCTCAACATCATCCACCACAGCCACAACCACAACCCCACTCAGGCCACCTGATTCTAAAAGAAAGAGGTGTCAGGTCTGCCCAAGCAGTGAGGACAGAAAGACAAATGTACTGTGCTTCAACTGCAACAAATATCTCTGCAAAGCACACACAAAGTGTCATCTTTTTGACACGCACGCACGCGTTCTTGCACACAGACTTTTACTCTGATTTTGTTTTTTATTAGTGTTGGAACAAGTACTTGGTTTGATTTGCTTGATTGGTTGTTGGACCTTGCAAATCTATATTTTGTTTTTTATATATATATTCTGTTTTTCATTTTGTAGTTGTACTAAAGTTCTATTGCTGAAAAAAAGAGTCTTTTTGCCTTTTTGAAGTAATTATATATATATATGGGTCGAAATTGACCCGTAACACCATAGATGTTACTATAGTTAATAATATTAAAATGAAAAAATAAACAAAACAAATTTATTTCAGAGATGTGTTCTAAATCCCCTCAGTAATAGTCAGGTGACATAACAACATTTTATTTATTTATATGATTCTCCCGAGGTTCATTTTACATTGTTTTTTAATTGAAATCGAGGGGTATACTGACAAAAAAAAAAGGCCCAGGGGCACACACCAAAAATATTAAAACCAATATTTTCATGGATAAGGAAGCCTAACAAGGTAACTAAGAGATGAGAAACAAATTGGATGATAGATAATTGTTTTTAGTGTATTTTACAGCTGATTTAAGACACGGGTCAAAACCGACCCGTTAACATAAGAGATGGTAACAGGAAACTAACACAAGAGGAAGGTTAAGCACAGGAATGGGGTGTTATTCGCTTTTATGTTTCACTCCTCATAATATACTTTTATGTGATGCCATAAGTTTTTCTACTTTATTTTAAATTTGGCAGTCTTTTCCATTGTGCTCTTCGTTTCTGGATGGTGACCTAATTGCAACACGCCTCCTTGCTTAATGCACTTCTAACAGCCATATCCATGGAAAGCATGCATACCACTTTTTATTTTGCACTTCCTGATGCCTTCTTCTACAAAATCACATTCCTTCCACATCCATTTTGAGTACCTAATGAGGGATCCCTCACTTAACAATGGCAAGATCAGAAACAAGGGAGCTGCGATAGAAGGGACAAATGACATGGACTCTGGTGATGGCCTACAGCAGGGGTGCTCAACCTGTGGTCCTCTGATGTTGCCCTTGACCTCATGAGATGGGATGATGAGTTGGCAAGCCCTGATCACAATCAACAGGTTGCCGACCCACCATCCCAGAGCATCAGACTGCATGGAGCCAGCGCCCGCAGTGGAGGAAGCATGCGGCCACAGAGTAAGCAAGAAACACATAAGCTGATGCTTTTTCTGTAGTGCCAGCTCCTATCCCAGGCTGAGTGATACCAAGTGCACCTCCCCTGGGACCTTTCTATCAGCATGGAGACTGATGCCAGCAGAAGCTGAAAGAGGAACAGATCAGTGTATTAAACGTCACATACACTGTACATGCAATAGGCATATTAGCACTTATAAAAAATGGTTATTAGGCTGCTTTCCCACTGATCCTGTGGACTAGCTGCACTGAGACATAGACTTCTGTTAAATCCTGTGGGTTTGGTGCAGTTTCTGTAAATGCTCCAAATTTCTCACCCCCCCAACCAGTCAGGGGTCACAGTGGTGACTTTGCCCCATCCTCCAGGGGGCCCGTGCAGCTTCCTTGTCACATTGTTAGTGTTACATTGTCGTAAGATGGATGAGTCCACTTCACACAGGTCCGTCAGTATCTCCGCTACGGAAACAGGAAGGCCAGGTTACATTGCTATAGATGTAAATGGAGGCCTTGGAGACCAAAGGAGGACCAGAAGTTGGTCGGTGGTGGAAAGCGCGTGGTTCCGGAAATGCCGTCATGTGCATGGGGATGTGGTTATGCGTTTCTAGGGGGGCTGCCTCTTTCTCATACCAATGAGCCCATTTCAGTCCTACGGTTTCTGCCCTAGGTGGTTTCTTCTTTAAATCTCAATGAGGATATTGTTCTGACTTTCTTCTAACTAGCTCCAGACCACACCAAGGAAATTTCCCTGCACTGCTTAGATGTTGTCAGGATCTATCTGGAAACTTCTGTCTTTTTTATTCTTTTTCTTCCCTGCAAAACATCCTGCTTCCTGCTCAATCATTGTTAGTTGGATCAGACAACTTATTCCAGGGCTTACGCCCTGAGATATAGAGTTCCTCCGTTCCATATCAGAGTTTATTCCACCAGGTCTGTAGAACTTTCCAGCATCAAGCATCTGTATCTCAGATTTGCAGGTCCACCAACTAGTCCTCTTCACACATTCTCCAGGTTTTACCAGGTGTATGTTCAGGCTTCAGCTGATGCTTTCATGAACAGATAGAATGGGCAATCATTGACGTTTTAGTTCAATTTAGAAAAGATTTTCCCTCATCCAGGACTTATTACTGATCTCTTTCCAGTTGAAAAAGAGTTCTCAAAAAGTGGACTCTACCACGTTTCAGTCTTAAAGGCATTTTAATCCTTCCTACCTGCACCTTCTGTTTTTCAACTTCAAAAGATGTGCTTTGATCTTGTCCTTTGTTTCTTTGTACGCACAGCCTATAGTAAGGTAAATCTCCACATTCCTTTGTTGGCAGTTTCAACATAGGGAATGTTGTATAGCACTGAACTGGTTAATGCAAAATCTCTGTAGTCTGACATGAGAGGAATTTTGACTTTACTTGAAATACATTACAAGACACAGGTGACCGTTTTCTTCTATTCCTTATATAATCTACATTGCTTGCTACAAACCTGAGAACTGAATTAATTGGGTAGGGTTATAGGGGATGTGCCCAGGGAGCATGTCCTCAAAAGCATTGCCAGTGTCCAATCACCTGAAGGTATGAGCCTTTAACCCAGGCCAGCCTGTATCCTATACTGTATTCCAAGATATGGAATTTATAGGCAAGTCAAAATTTCTCTCTTCATTTATTCGTGTACACTTAAGTCACCTGTTTTTCTTTTCTTTTCCAGCTGCCTTGGGGGATATCACACAGCAGCTTAATCAAAGTGAGCTTGCTATCCTGCTGAACCTTCTCCAAAGTCAAACAGATCTCAATGTCACTCAGATATCTCAGCTTTTGAATGTTCAGGGTAACCCGGACATACAGCAACAACTGGAAGCCCTTAACCAGTCTATCACTGCAATAGCCACTTCTACAGCTGTGACATCAGAAATGGAAGCCACTAAAGAAAGTCAAGCCTCAGAGCAAGCAGAATCAGAAGGCCTTGGAACTCAGGGAGACATGCAGAACGTTTTGGCTGTCCTATTGAGCCAGCTAATGAAACCACAGGAAGCAGCAGAGTCCACAGGGGAAAGCAATGGAGAGCAGATCACAAATAATCCTCCTGTACAGCTAAAGTCTAATGAAGAGGAGGAGGAGGAAGAAGAAGGTGCAGTGTTGGAGGAGGATGACGCAGGTAATTCGTTGTCACCCTCAGTCACCCATCTCTTCCTCACTGCATGTAAGGAAACCAGACATGGTAGAGGTTTATAAATGCGCAGGGGGTAACATTCTGTTGTATAAATCTCTGTGTGCTGAAAAGGTGTCCCTGAGATCCTCTCTGCAGCACAAGTAGGGAAAAGGCAAAGACCTTACGCTCCTGTATTTTGGTTTATAATAAACTGTACAATTTAAATTTAATTATTCTTGTTATTTGAACCGTTTACTTGCAATTACTTTAATTAAAATCTTAAGACATAGGTGTTATTGAGGAGATATGTTAGGATGACTTCTTCAGTATTCTTCTATGCTTTCTTTTCTAGTTCTGTTTTTCTTCTATTGATTTACTTTATTCTTCTTATTACCTTAAAGTAGTTATACTGGTTTCCCTGGTATGTCTTTCTGTTTCGTTATTTTATCCATTCCATTTACTGTTTGATCCCTTAATCTGTACCTTTTCCATTCATGTGCTTGTATTGTCAGAACTTTGTTGTTCTCAACACAAATGCCACATTTTATTTGACCACACGCAGTATCCAAAGCTGTCCACACACTGTGCAGTAGATCTACCAACAGTAATATGGTGCAAGGGCCACCCTATGAAATGCATTAAATTTTTCTCTAGTGAAGCAAACCCTGGCACTGTGGTGTTGGTAAATTTAAAGGAGATTGTACAGTTTAATTGTAATATGTGGCCTGCTTTAGGATGGTGATCTGGGTGCAGATCTTCCACTAAATCTGACATATTTTGATGGATGTGCTTCATATCACCTTACAACTTGGACTGTGCCATTTATCACCAATTTGGCCAACAGTCTGTTGCGGTGTGTACATAATGAAAGTTAATTTCCTTTTCTATGTAGAAAAGGGAACATTCATTAAAAGATTAGAATATTCCAATGTACCTAAAGATTTTTTTTTTTTAGTATCTGTTATTTCTGACATTCTGCAAGTAGTACCAAAAATTATATCAACTTGATTGCAAGAAATTGGGCTGTTTTTAGCCACTTGAAAACTGCAAACTTTGAGATCATTAGATGCGGCCGAAATGTCTTACCTGCATCTCGTAAGTTTTTGCTAATATTTTATCTTCAAGCGAGACTCCACAAAAACTGCATAACACACTATTGGATTATGTATACGTTTACTGTTTTACTTTGTGTGTGGTTTTTTTGGCGTTTTTTTTTTTCCATAGCATGTATTTTAATATTAATACCTATGCATTTAACCCTTTGATGCATTTTCTATTGAAATCAAGGAAAATGCATCAAACTTCATGTCAGCATGTGTCTTTACACACATTGCATTGCACTTTATATTGCCAGCAAACATGCATTAACTTGCATCTTAACACATGCACTAACTTTTATTTTAGTGGATAATGCATATGTATGAAAAGGTCCCTTAAGAGCAATAACCAAAGAATGCAGTGAACACGTTTCCCCAATACATTTCCTGAGGCTGTAGTGTATGGTATACTAATAACCTTGTCAAGACTAATAGCTTCAGTTCACACAACAGGCATATATCCATGTGAAAGGCAGCCTTTGCCCACATGGGGATCCACAGGTGTCCCAGTTTGAAAGCTATGCGGATGTGTGTGTCCGAACGCACACTGTTTGCATTCAGGGACGTGCATCCGCATCCCATGTGGGCAAAGACGCCCCTTTGCATGGATGTATGCATGAGTATGCCCGTGCGAATGAGGCCTTACTAGAACTCATGAACAATTTCTTCTTTGCAGGATCCGTGGGAACTGGTGGGTAGCTTAATAAGGTGGTCAATGGCTGAGCTGGTAAAGATTAGATAAAGAGAGTAAGAATGGGGGGTAGAATAAAGCCCATAGCAATATTAGTGTTTAGTAAAAGTGTACTTTTTGCGCAAATAGAGTTTCAGTGGGGATGTGACAGAAAAATGAATTGAACTGATTATGTCAATAACATCAGTTGTGTTGACTCTAATGTGGAAGATCTTCAGTTTCAGCATAAGCTTTTGTTTGTATGTAGTTAGCATAAAATGATTCAGTATGTCTTAATATGTAGTCATTAAAGTTTTTAAATCCCATTTTACTTGTACACTGCCACTGGTTACCAGTGCAAGGGGAGGTAGTTAAATAGTGCTACTGCAGAGTACCAATGCAGGAATGAGGTTAATCTCACTCGCTGATTGCCAGTCATAGGGGGAGGTTTAAAGGATAAGTTCAGCATTTGAAACATGGTACATATTCCTCCCCTTCCAGCAGATGCAGCCTCTTACCCCCCTCCCCCCCTTTTTACCTGTGATAGCAAGGAGGGGATCTTCTCCCCGCACCCACTGTCGCTATTTAAAAATGTGGCCTTGCTGGGCTCTATCCATATGACCATGTCATTTATTCAGTTTCCTGTAAATGAATGCCTACAAGTACTGTCAGCCTTTGCAGATGACAGCTTGTAGTTCTCAATGTATAGCGGGGACACTAGTGAGCGCTCTCATAGTCCATTGAGCTTTCGGGATTGCAGTAATTGTTTACCTGTAACAGGTACGGTCAGACAGTGTACGGACTGTTTGCAGGAACATGACATTGCAGCTGTAATCTACTGATCAGTAGTGCAGTGATTTACAGGCTGCCAAGAAAAAAAAAATACACATTTATTTTTACTTGCAAAAAAATGTGCATTTATGATTTTAAAAAAGTGTACTTATCCTTTAATAGTTTTGCCATTGTACCAGTGCTGTTTTTTTTATTTTTTTATTTTCCATTATGGCTCTTGACACTCATGATTTCTCCTAAGTGTGCAATGCGGTATGTTGCAAAAATGCAGCTAGAAATTTCCAGATGTTAAGATGCTTTACAGCCTATTCATTTTGAATGGACTGCCTAACTTGATGCAGTGCATCTCAATGCAAAGAAACAGTACTATTGCGTGGCCCTCTGCAAGTATTGGAGGCTGCATTTGAGGACCTCAATAGTTTTCAAGTTGGCCATCACTGCAGTATTGCATTGGTGGTCAACTTTATTGATAATAGGGGCCTCAGATATGGTCACTCACATTACCAGAGAAAACAGGTTGCAGACATGCCGTAGGAGATAGTCAAAACTGCAGACTTGCAGCAGAAGATGATTAGAGACTACAATCATACTACAGGTGAAACTCGAAAAATTAGAATATCGTGCAAAAGTTTATTTATTTCAGTAATGCAACTTAAAAGGTGAAACTAATATATGAGATAGACTCATTACATGCATAGCAAGATAGTTCAAGCCGTGATTTGTCATAATTGTGATGTTTATGGCTTACAGCTCATGAAAACTCCAAGCCACAATCTCAGAAAATTAGAATATTGTGAAAAGGTGCAATATTCTCGGCTCAAAGTGTCCAACTCTAATCAGCTAATTAAGCGATAACACCTGCAAAGGGTTCCTGAGAATTAAAATGGTCTCTCAGTCTGGTTGAGTAGGAATCACAATCATGGGAAAGACTGCTGACCTGACAGTTGTGCAGAAAACCATCATTGACACCCTCCATAAGGAGGGAAAGCCTCAAAAGGTAATTGCAAAAGAAGTTGGATGTTCCCAAAGTGCTGTATCAAAGCACATTAATAGAAAGTTATGTTGAAGGGAAAAGTGCGGAAGAAAAAGGTGCACAAGCAGCAGGGATGACCGCTGCCTGAACAAGATTGTCAGGAAAAGGCCATTCAAAAGTGTTAGGGACTTTCACAAGAAGTGGACTGAGGCTGGAGTCAGTGCATCAAGAGCCACTACACACAGATGGATCCTGGACATGGGCTTCAAATGTCATATTCCTCTTGTCTCCTGAACAACAAAAAACATCAGAAGCGTCTTACCTGGGCTAAAGAAAAACAGACCTGGTCTGTTGCTCAGTGGTCCAAAGTCCTCTTTTCTGATGAGAGCAAGTTTTGCATCTCATTTGGAAACCAAGGACCCAGAGTATGGAGGAAGAATGGAGAGGCACACACTGCAAAATGCTTGAAGTCCAGTGTGAAGTTTACACAGTCTGTGTTGATTTGGGGAGCCATGTCATGCTGGTGTTGGTCCACTGTGCTTCATTAAGTCTAGGGTCAACTCAGCCGTCTACCAGGAGATTTTGGAGCACTTCATGCTTCCTTCCGTAGACGAGCTTTATGGGGATGCTGACTTCATTTTCGAGCAGGACTTGCCATCTGCCCACACTGCCAAAAGCACCAAAACCTGGTTCAACGACCGTGGGATTACTGTGCTTGATTTTTTTTTTTGTCCTTGTTTTATTGATTGCATGAAATATTCTAATTTTCTGAGATTATGGATTTGGGGTTTTCATAAGCTGTAAGCCATAATCATCACAATTATGACAAATCACGGCTTGAACTATCTTGCTTTGCATGTAATGAGTCTATCTCATATATTAGTTTCACCTAATGAACTTTTGCACGATATTCTAATTTTTCGAGTTTCACCTGTATATGCATTTTGGAGACTGAGAACATGCTTCAGAAGACAGTCACAGACATACATTATGGACTGCTAAAAATCACTGGTATTACAGCCCCCTTATAAATCCATGTTTCCATATCTCTATAACCCACTTAAAAATGACTTGTGCCACAGCAAGATACATTATAAAAGATCAACAGGAAAAAAAGGATGGATGGCATGGAAAAAAATGCGAAAGACATAAATCAAACCATTTTATTACTTGAAGCCAGTTATAAGAGTATTTCTTGATTGTACATAGGCTTCTTTACAGTATAACGAAAGGCAATAACTTTGTTTTTGGTTAGAGTGGAGAGAGATTAGAAAACCTCCCAGGTTTTTTTTTGCTATCTGTGTCGAAAGTGAAAAAAAAAATCCTAAATTCTGGATTGCCCGCCAAACAGGAGTAGAGGGGTAATCTTCCAATGGGAACATTAGTTCAGGTACCCTTGTTGACAACCAGGGATTTTCTCTCATTTCCTCTTTTGGCTATGTGACCAAAAGTAAAGAGAAATCTCTCCAGTGAGACAAATAGCAAAAAAAAAAATCTGACGGGTGCTCCTGTACCACACCATTATCAGAGGAGTACCTGCAATCCCTGCCT